ATATGTGCCTTGTATCAAATCTAAAAAGTTAGTAATTTTTAATTCTTTGTATAAGATTTAAAATTCATGATAATATATAACTTTGATTTGAATTGTGATATGGTAGAAAATCTTATTTTAACATGTTAGTTAACATATATTAAATTTAGATTAATTAAATAAGAATTGCTCTTTTTAATTAATATTTATCTTTTGTCAAAGATTAAAGTTCATGGCCGTACCTTGCATGAAATTGAGTTGTATTATGCTTCTAAATTAAGTTTTGGCATGTTTGTTAACATACTTTAATTTGAGAACATTCGGTTGAGTTTGGAAATTTAGAGACTTTAATTAAGAGAATTAATTAAAATCTAATTTTGTGGTTTCATGGGCCTAATTAAGCTTTTGTGAGAATATATGTAATGACCATGATATGTCTATTAGCGTATATTAAATTGGGGCCAATTGGAAATGATTTGAAATCTAGAGAGTTTAATTATTTTGATGTAATTAGATTCTATCTTGTTTATCCATGGATTTAATCATGTTTTAGAAGGTGTTTCTATTTTAAGATCATGGATTTAGACTTGTGAAGTACTCACTTGATTGTGTTATATGCATTGAAGGGCATTGTTGTTAAATTTATATTCACGAGAGTATGTTTCTATATGAATATATTGTTGGCTTGTGATTTCGTAGCATTATGGATATGAAATGCTTATTATGCACAATTGAGAGTTATATTGCTAACTTGTTACTATGTAGTAGTAATATGTATAAGTTATGAACTTATTTGGCTTATTTTGGAATCTTGGAATATTGTTAAGTTGAGATAGCTAGGATTTAACTCTAGTACGGGGATGTGAGTCCTCTAAGTCATTGAGATAGTACGCACTTAGGGTGGTCTTCCCTGCGGGTTAGTGCCCGAAATAACCATTGAGGTCTCGGCAGAATTCCGAGCGTGATGTCCAAGTCTTCCACTATTTATTTTCGCATTCAATTCCAAGTTGACAATCATGTTTACCTTGTAGACTTGTGGTTTTGGCTATTGGCGATTTTGATGTTATTCAGTACATCCATACTAAATTGATATATTTAGTTGATTTCACACTTTTAGATTTCTAGTTGATAACCTAGAGAATCCATGTCTTGATGTGTGGTATTAGATATTCTAATTATGTTAAATTGTTATATTTAGTTGATGTTGCATTTTAGACTTCAAGTTGATAACCTTGAGAATCTATATGTTGCTGCTTTGTGTAAGCATGCTCCTATGTTGTTGCTTTGTGTAAGCATGACCCTATGTTGCTAAAATTGCATGAATGAGGTGATTGATGCTAGAAATGATCTTAGGTAGCTAGGATGCTCTTTGAGTCTCACCTTTGACATAGACGTTAGGTGGAATGAACCACAATAATTAATCATGCAAACTTGTAAAACGTAGGTCGATGCATGCTCATTTCCTACGAGTAGCTTTATGTTACTCACCCCTACGATACTGGGGCATATTTCAGGTACAAGAATCAAAGTTGAGGTCTTCATTATGCTTGGATGGTTTGTGGACTTGGAGACTTCCATTTTTGTGAAGGTTGGCTTAGAATGCCAATTGTAGTCTTATATGTCAACATGTGTACATTTGATTCCCTATATGTAATGTGTATATGAGTACACTCTTTATGATGTATTTGACATGTATGAGATGAGGCTGGAAGCCAATGACATGTAATTTCTATCCTATGTAAATTTTGACTTCATGGAATATTATAAAAGTATTAAAAAATATTGAGTTTTTGCTTCACCATGTTTACATTGGGTGTGGGAATTCCATTTTGATTCTTCCATTAGCATTCTTTCACCATGTATGAAGTGTGGCCAAGGGCCAAACGGCATTTTGAAACCATCTCATGATTTTAAATTCCAAGTTTTCGTTCCAAACTTCGTTTTTGGCATTTTGGCCATTAGGGGGTCATATTTTGTATCGGCCATATTTTTGAGCCGTGGACCATTGTAGCACATCTTACTAGGTAAGTTACATTTGCATGCAAGGTCGTTTCCGGGCAAAACTTCTTCTTTGGTGAAATGAGCCTCCTACGGACTCATTTTTCACTTTTGTTGCATATTCTGACCTAAGGGTATTTTGGAAATTTTCTTTGGGAAATAAATTCCGTACTTCACATGGTTGAATAGAAAAAATGATTTTAGGGGGGTTCCTTTTTTGTGATTTTCCAGAAAATGTCATCTTGATATCGGAAATTGCTTCCGAAGTTCAGCTCTCAGTTTTTAAATTTAGCAGCTTTTTGAACCCTCTGGACCAGTTTTCTTGGGAGGGCATTTTGGGCATTTCACAGTTAGTATTTTTTTATTTTTCTTGCGAGTCACGTAGAAAACTCGATTTTGAGGGGAATTTCTTCTTTGTGTTTTTCCAGAAAATGTCATCTAGGCCCTCAAATTTCCATTTTTTCCAGAAAAACCCTTGCTTCCAGGTTTTTAGGTCGCACCTTTACTGCCCCTTCACATCTAAACGTTTAGATGGGGTCTCGTAACCGGTTACATGATGTGGGCAGCGTTTTTGTCACTTTTTTTTGCCTTCTAACCGGTTAGATAGGCCATCTAACCGGTTAGATGTTCTTGGGTTTGCTATTTTTGACCGTTTTGTCCCTTCTTCTTCCGTAAGCCATATCTTCTTCATCCGGACTCCGAATCAAGCGATTTTTGAGTCTAAGTTCATTGATTTTTCGTTGTCTTTCCAATGGTGTGCTCGGTGGCACCCACTTTTAAGATAGAAATAACAATTTTTCCCCTAGGTTCATTCTTGTTCATTTTTGAAATGTTGCTTCCGCATTTGATTCCTTTGGGTTCCGTGACCTCATTAAGGGTCATAATGGTGTCTTAGAGTCATGTTGTATCTCTAGAGACTATTGTTTTATCTTTTGCTTCTGCATTTCGGATCTGTTATCGGTTCATCACTGACGCACCGGGTTGAAAAATTTGGGCCGTCATAATCACACTTAATTTGAAGGGAACAAGGCATTCATGGAGTATTAATTGATTTACCAGTGATCCTTCTACAGAAATCAAATGTAAACCTGAAGTTGAGAGCTATTGAATGGGGGAGTTGCAAAGTCGGGGTCAGTTATCGATTAGTTTTTGGTAGAGTGATAGGGTGTAAGCCTAAGTCAAAGTTTCAAAAATAGTGGATCTTCTTGCTCAAGACGACATACGTCCTCTAGGTTTTTTCCAGCATGATTGGTCTCTTGCTAAAAAATTGGACCATCCGGTGTCGCTCTGAACTCACTGTTTACATTACTTGTCGTTATTGTTTGTGGGTCTTTAATTCATCTTTATTTTGGTAAATTTAAATTAATTAAAAATCGAATAAAAGAGCAAATTGAAAATATTCACCCCCTCTAAGTTGCTTATCCATATAATATTCCACTACCATTCTGCAACTCACAAACCGGAGTTGAACCCTCAACCTTGAGAACATATCACTAGACTAATGCAATTTAAAAGGGCACCAATTGTTGTATAATGCAACAAAAATATGCTTTCGTCTCAAGTAACCAAATATTTGTGACAAAAATAAATAAAATAAAATAAAAACAAAATAATAATAATTCGTAGCACCTCTTGTTGCAAAAAATAAAAATAATAAAATAAAATTAGTGTCACATGTCGTCGCAATTAGTTGAGCTAGCACGTAGGGACATATATTTACTATAATTAAAGTGTTGCTTAAATATAATTTTTCAGTTTTGATTCATCACCGTCATCTAAAGCACCCCATGACATGGATTCAAAATATAGAAGCAACACTTAATTCTGTGAGATATATATTTTTGTATTGGAAAATTTCGGTGTCAAAACAATTTCGATTGAATTGTAATTTCAAGTTTAAATTTCAAGATCAAGATCAGTTGCGAAATTGAAGAGTTGTTCGTGTTTGATATTCTGAGATCTACGAAAAAGGTATGAACAACACTTTAGGAAGTTGTTTTAGAAGGTTAAGACACTTTTTATACTTGGTATGTTTTTCAAACTTCCCAAATCAAAAAAATTTCCAAGTGTCAGGCCTTTAAGTTCAAAACTGGCCATCTTGAACCAGTTCAGCCTTTTTGAACCGGTTCAAGAATCAAAGGATTCTTCGAATTTTACTATGGCAATCTTAAACTGATTCAGCCTTTCTTGAACCGATTCAAGAAGCTGATATAGTTTCGGTAACTTGTTTCCAATTCTATCTAAATTTTCTATTTGGTATAGAACTCTTTCCAAAAAGACTTATGCACGAAATTTAACTTTTCCTATGTATATCTAAGTCTTTGAAGAGTCTATATAAACCTTGATTTACATCTAGGTTATTATGGCTTTTGCATTACAACTTTTGATTTATTAAAAGCCTATATGAGAGATAATTTGCAGAAAATCAAATCTGATTTTTCTGTTTTTATTTCTAGAACACGCACATAAACACAAGAGTGAGTTTAGAGTATTTGTTCAAATCCTGATAATGTTCAAAGTATATTGAATCTTGCATCTACAACGGTTAGAGAAAGTAGATATATTTCTTCTATCAAATTCAGAACTTGAAAAAAAAGGGTGAAGTGATCACACTTTGAAATGGTCAAAGCATTCGAGAAGTGTTGTTTGATCTACCAGTAAACAATCATTCTACAAAGATCAAGAGTAAACTTGAAATCAAGAGCTGTTGGATAGGACATCGCAAAGCTAGAGAATAGTCAGCAATTGGTGTTTGGTAGAACAATAGGGTGTGAGCCTGAGTCAAAGTCCATTGTACTTTGTTTCAAATATAGTGGATCGGTTTACTTTGGGCTACATAGTGCACAAGGTTTTTCCCACAACAATTGGTCTATTCTACCAATTGGGGTCTCCTCGCTAAAAATCCTGGAGGCATCTCTCAAATTCTATTTGCTTTACATGATTACTTGCCAAATTAACTAAAGCTGATTAAAATAGAAAGGCACAAATTTTAATCTTTTCCTTAATAACTTAAACTTTTCACATTATCTTCCGCTGCATAAACTCACAAATTCCCTTAGAATATATATATATATACACACACACACACACATGTTCTTTACACAATTGCAGGCAGGCAGTTTACCTGTTATAAAAATTACAATCCTAATTTTCGGGAAAAAAAATTACATTCCTTCGTACTATGATATCCCATACATTTATTGGTTATTTACAGTGGAAGAGGAAAGAGCCTAATTATAGGTTTAAATTAAATTGGGAACTACATGATCAGGGTACATGTCGCATTCAAGAAGAAATAACTATTTGTTTGACTCCATTTCCTTTGCCAGAACATCAGACTCGGCGGCACGTTCCTCGTGATGTTTTCCGGTGACGGTCAACTTCGTACAACTTGCAGTCACTGGCAGTTCATGGTCGCCACCATTTTCATTTGTTGATGGTGTCAGGCTAAGTTGATCCTTTCTTTTGCCCCAAACGATGGCATAAAGGCCAAATGCGATTACTATAGCTCCAATTATGCTGAAAATTTAAATAAGATTCGATAAAATCATTGTTCTTATAATTCACTTGGTTTTGCTTGAAGGTGATAATTCAATAGAGTACTTAACTCTGAATAAATTCATCTAGCATTTGTTTAATTAAGTGAATTTGATAACGCAATCAGTGAACGCAAACTTGAATTATCACAAAATACGAAATAATTAAAATTTCAAAAAATATAAAAACAATTTATGAATTATTCTGTAATTCACTTCTAAAAATATTTGTTACTTACTTAATTTTCAATATATATATATATATATATGAGGATTTGTTTAATTGTATGCATACCTTCCGAGATGAAGTTTCTCAGCTAGAATGACAGAACCAAGAACAGCTACAATGATCATGCATAGAGGGTTGAAGGCAGTTACAAACACAGGCCCTCTTGTTTTCATCACCAGGCCTTGAACGTAGTATGTGATTCCAGAGCTAATTACCCCCTGAAACAATTGAAAATAGATTGGTTAACTTATCATTTATTATGTACCCAAATATATATATATATTTGATACTCATTTATCTATATATATACATATATAAATATTATAAAAAAAATTATAATATAAAAAAATGCACACACATTCACAACATTATCTTTAACATGGTTCAAAAAAGGAGAGATCTAGTCACGCGTCTATATAATTAAGAGATGTCCGCATATCAATGTCATCAAATCTGCGTTTATACAACTAAGATACATTAAACCTCTCCCCCAAGTACGATCATTTTGAGTGTGATCATACCAGCACTAATGCACCTGATCCCATTACAAAAAAAATTCTCCTAAAAAAAAAAAAAAAGAAAGTACTTGGGGATTGTTTATTGCATACTTACCGTGTAAACGGGAGCGAGGAGCCTAGAGTCCCAGCCAATCGACCAGGCACCGGGGTGGTGCTCAAACATGAGTGTCACTGCTGTGCTCTGCACAGTGCCCAACAAGCATATCCAGAAGGCTAGAGAGAGCTCCGCGGGATATTTCTTCACCGTTATCGACTAAAAGAGGAAAGGCGCCATAAGAGTTCCAAAAATTATATTGTAAACAGTGTTTGCTATATGCAATTTCATCAAACATTGTCTATAGTGATTATATGTAGGACAAGAAAGACCATATGTGTCCTCTGGTGAATTATGAGGTATTTCAAGAGACACGGCATTACCATTGTTAATAATATGCTTAGTTGCTATGTCTATTTAATTGTCTATGACATGCCTTTTTTTTTTTTTTTTTCCCCATTAACTTTATGCTCAATAATTTAGTCCCAAGAACAAAAAGTAAATAAAGAAAATGAAGAAAATATAATGCACAGCTCCATAATGTGTGCATGTATATATATCATGATTGGATCATTTCATTAGTGATCCACATGTAAATCTAGTAGCCACAAGTAAGTCACTTCTACTTGATTTTGTTGTGGACAAGTCATATTCCAAATCTGAGTGAATTGAACTGTTAGGAAGAACTTACTTGCAATATGAAGAAACAAGACCAGGCAAAGCAACCAATTAGGATACATATAGTGCCAGTGACCCAGTGTTTATCGGACGAGTCATTAGTGCTCACAAAATGGCTTGTTTTCGGGGTCCAAAACAGATTGATAATAGGGCCTTTGTACAATGTCATGGCCAATGCTCCTGTCAAGGTCAGTAGGGTTCCAATAACCTTAGCTTGACTGCGAACTTCTTTAATCTTTACCAGTTCCAACCTGTCCACATATTACCTAGCATTAGCAATTCCATCTGAAAATGTTCTAAAAAAAAAACAGTTTTACGTGTGTGCGTGCTTCGTAGGAACGCAAATGATACACACAAACACACACATATAACTAATATATATATATATATCGCATGAATAGATGTACAGTGCATGCACTACTAAAAGATCAAATTAATAAAGTATATATATGGATCCGAATCCGTTCCAGTGGAACAATAGTTCATGTTCCGTCGATTTTAGGATGCACCTTACAAAAAAAAAGTTGAGATGTTTGGTTATATATTCCAACTTTTTTTTATAAGGTACATCGCCGGAACACAATCTATTGTTTACATAAGTATAGTGCATGCACAATACTAAAAGATCAAATTACTAAATCCTCTTTAGTGGAACAATAGTTTCTATTCCTTCGAGTTTGGGATGGACCTTACAAAAAGGTTGAAATGTTTAGCAAATATCACAACTTTTTTTTGTAAAGTGCATCCCAAAGCAGGACCTGTTGTTTAGATTTTCTTCCATATATATATATACACACACACATTTATACATTATATGTATGTACGTAGCTAATTGGATAAAGTCTTGATTACCGGAGAATAACTGCGATGACAAAGGTAAGGGCAGGAACTGCATTCATAATGGCAGAAGCATATGATGCCGATGTCAAGTTCATCCCCAAGTAGGCTAAGTTCTGATCAAGAATTGGCCTGAAAATTTAATTACTGTAGATCAGAACAATCCTTGCAAAGTGTATATATATATATATAGGCATTAATTATATATATATATATATATATATATATGGTTTACTGGGGCGTCAATAAGTCAGTTTACCAGAACTATTATTAGAATTTATCTCATGTGACCATCATATATACATTAGTGACGTGTTAGTTTCACATAAAGTTCAGGTAAATGAATTGTCTAATTATATAATCTAGTTTTGGACAGGACCATGAACCTTTATGCTCTCCAGTGCACTGTGACATCGAGTACATCACACCAACAGTGTTCGACCCACCAATGCACTGAACGCCACGGTACACTAGGATTTAGTAGTTTTTTTTTTTTTTTTTTTTTTTTTTTTTTTAACTCGAAACTCCTTTGGAAAGGGCCCTTTGGACACACCCCAAGCTATAAACCGAGGTGTTGCAACCGGTCCCACAGCATTATAATGGGGTGTTGGAGTTCGAAATCAGTACATATTAAAACTCAGCCCTTTACCTTACCATCATCACTAAGCTCCTAGGGCCACTAGGATTTTAGTTTGATAATTCTTATAGCACTGGAGTCCATTTACGTACAGGAATATCCACGAAAATCAGAAGCAGGCGTTATAACAAAACTTCTAACAAAATATCTCGAGAAATCTATGAAAATAGAATTAGATCCAAAGGCGGATCCAAGGGTGGGCGAAGCTGGGCTTCAGCCCACCCCAAAAAAAAATATATATATATATATATATATATATATATATATATATATTTATCATACTACTTTTAGCCCATCTCAAAAAAAAAAAAAAAAAAAATTTAGTAATGGTAGTCCAGTCCAAAGTTAGCCTAGTCCAAAATTAGCCTACCCCATTTAAAAAGACTGAAATCGGTCCTTCATTAGGTCTCATCAAGAGAATTGATATTTTACAAGTTTAATGATGGACGCCTTAATATTGGTAATTATGAACCATCTCCAACAAACCACAGTACTATTTTCTGATGGAAAAGAATTACAATCAAAGTGAAAAAAAAAAAAAAAAAAAGTAATAGTAATAATTAATTAGGATAAGTTGAACTTAGATGAAGTTAGAGTTGATGAAAATAATGGCATGCAGCATGCTATTTGTCTCGAATTGAACTCAGAAATTCGAAATATTTGGATCATATTTTTGTTTTTTTGAGAGTGATGTCAAAATGTCAAATGCAGTCGAGACTGTGAGTAATACTCACCGTGGGATCTACAAGATTCAAAGACTCTGCTTGTATAGTTATGACTGTGCGTAGCACAGCTCTAACTTTGGAAGCATGATACGTGTGTATATATGTGTAACTCAGTCCTTACGTAGACAATACACGTGTAAAATGTCAGGAGAAGTTAGATAATATATATGTGTGTGTGTATGTGTGTGTGTGTGTGTGTGTGTGTAGGATGGATAGAGCATACTCTAGAAAAGCCAACACCATTATCTGTAAGAAGGTTGGAAGTGTCATTTTTGGTCGTATTTTCCTGTGAAATAAGAAACAAAGTCATAACAGGTTAGATTCATGTATCAAATAATTAAGGACGGACCATTAACTAACTATTTATAGTGGACATTTTATTGAGAGCAACAGTATTTGTATAAAATGCTTTACGTGAAGGATATATAGACGTACCTTTCAAGAACTAGAGCGAACGGAGCGATGGTGAGTGCAGCAATGCCATTCCGGTAGACGATGAGCACGAAACGGCTCATCCCTTGTTTGAGAGTAACAGCACTTATGATGTACATCCCAGCAGAGCCACACTGCAAACCCATCATAAGCAAGTAGGGTTTGGCATTCTTCAACATTGAATGTAACATCCCACATGTTTTCTGGTTTGACATCTCTAGCTCTCACTGTCGACTATAAATTGTTTCGATAATTAATGAGAGACTAAGAAGCAATAAAGCCTTCTTATAATGGAGAGAAGCAGAAAAAATAATTGAATATAATTAAGTTCCATGATAGGGTCTTATTAGTGATCTCCACGTACTGGGATCGACTACAACATTTTTTCAGACATAATGCTTGCTTCGGTCATTTTCGTGATATACAAGCCTTTGTCTGACTCTTTCTCAAGAGAAATGCTTTCTTTTCAAAAAAAAAAAAAAAAATTGTTTTTTCATTGTTAAGTTCGTAGTGGGAATGCAACAAACGCAATTACTAATGTTTGGAGCACCAAATGAGCACTTTAGAATTAAAATTGAATGAAATTTACTTCAAAGTTTAAATTACATTTTATCTAATTTTTATTCCAAGATGTTGATTCTATTGTGTTTTGTGTCTCAAATTTGGTATGTGTTCTAAAGAAGATGTTGGACCAGTCCAGTTGGGTGAAAAGTAAAGTTTAGATATTTATAATTGATATGGTAATTCCTTACCGGCAATTTGGGAAATTTTTGTAGGATCCCATTTCATTTAACAATATATATGGTATATATTGTTAAATGAAATGGGATCCTACAAAAATTTGGTAAATGAAATGGGATCCTACAAAAATTTATATATATATATATATATCATTTCACTTACCAAAAAAACTTAATGCTATGTTTCCAAATGTGATAACTAAATTTAATGCTCCTTTTGGAAGGAAGGAAGGAAGGAAAAGAAGTGGAGAGAAGATAGGAAGAAAAAATCAAACTTCCTCGGTTTGGTAAAAAGGAGGAAATGAGAGAAGATAAAAGATGATGGATGAGACGTCCCTCCTCCTTCACAAATTTTTAGGGCAAGACTACTATAAATGTTTTTAAATTATAAAATTTTAAATAAAATAAGAAATTATCTCATTATTTTCTCTTCCATCCAATCAAACATAAAGATGGAAGGATACAATTTCTTCCTTGAGGATATCTCATTCATCTAGTCTTTTCCCTACCATTCAATTTTCTTCCTTCCTACCAAACAGATTATAAAAATTGATGAATGTCTATTAAAAATCTGCAACCACTTTGAAGTTCACACCATCATACAAAACAATATATAACACTTATCCGAAAATTAAATATTCCTTAAACGGCCAAGTCTTTAAACAATTCGAACCATTGGGCAGTCAAAAAGCATATACTGACTCTTCATCTTTTCCACATATGGCACAAATTGTTTAATTAACTAATCTCCTTTTTTTTTAATTCAGCAAGATTAATTTTTCTCAAAGTTGAAATTTTCCCAATTTGTTTCCATGTCATCGATCTCCTTCCAAATCATTTATTTTTCTTCTTAATTTCTAAAGCAAATACAAGATTAACTCTCCTTTAACCTTTTCTTAATTTTATTTCCCACCAACTCCCTGACTTAATTCAAATGCACTGTTTATATAATAGAGAATCCACACCATGCATGGCCTGGTATACGAATAAATATTCAATACATCTAGTGCACAGTGTACCGAGCTAATTTGAGTCGTACGTGCACAACACGCGTCATGATATGCACGTGACGACACATTTTATACACGCATAACTCAAATTAGTTCGGCGCACTTACCCAATATCTACTCCGGATATGTGATGTTAACAGGCATGGTTGTGTGTGTGTGGTAAGCATTCGTTCTAAAAGAAGATGGACATATTTGTGTGTTTTGGTGTGTGGAAAGGAAACACGCATATGTCATAAGTTTGTATCTTTCTCTTTTAATTTGATAGTTGTAAACAAATGGGAACCAAGTCACCATTTTTTAGTCATAAAAGAACCTGTAGCCTCATTTTGGTGACGTGGGTAAAGTATGTTATATGATATAATATGGCATTGTGGTTTGTGATGAGAAGCACACACTGTCGATCTGTTGAGTGTTAGAAGTGATGATATTACAGGAGTTAGGAACTAAAATGGAGAGTCATTGGATACATTTTTGGTGAGTGTCACGTTAGTGTCAGTTTAAGTTAGGAACTAATATGGAGTCATTGGATACATTTTTGGTGAGTGTCACGTTTAGTGTCAGTTGAGTGTATCTTACGAATGAAAAAAAGTTTTAGATTCGACAATAAAGTTGTCATCTTAAACTTATTTACATTAATTTTTTTATCCAAAACGATTAACTATTCAGTTGTTTTTTTCCATCCTTTGTTTCCAACGTGGAGGGAATTAGGGTAATCCAATCTCATCCTATAGGGAACTTCTAAAATTTAAAAATGGTTTTCATGCATGCTACTATACTTTCATTATTTTGGTCACTAAATAATTTTATATATATATATATATATATATATATATATATATATATATTTCTCAAAAAAACTAATTTTATATTATCATGATCACACAAGAGAACAACTTTTTGTGCTCCTCATAAGGCCGAACACTTGTAACCATCATGGCCGTTTCTCAACGAATTTGGACTTAAGAAGGCCGAGGTGCTAACACTATTATTTTTGATCAATTTCGACAAACCTATTCCAATTCGCAAAGACCCATTCCCGATTGAAATATAGCTAATATTCTTGTGACCATCATGGTCGTTGCTTACTTATATTTATGCCCTTCAATTTATACTGATGTATAACAGATTATCAATAATTAACAGGATAGTTTAGTTTGTCAGAAAGTTCAAGTAAAAAATTTATACAAACTGTTCCAACTTGAAAAGACTCATTCTCGATTCAAATGTATATAGCTAATACAACAATGAGGGTTTGTTCATCACATACATCAGTCAAATTGAAATTCTATTGTTAGGGTTTAAATATATTCTATGAACGCATGGCAATATCTTGATGAGCAGTATATAGTGTATCTTATTTACTTTAAGGAAAAAGGTAGTCACGTACTGATTAATATAAATATATATACATTACTGATGAAAAAGTCTTATCTTCTGAAAAAAAAGGCCAGTCAAAGAAAAAGAAAATGTTGACCACGATCTTAAACTCTAAAGTGGTTTATTAAAGAGAAAATAATCAAATTTGTTCAGAGCATACAATATTGGACTCTTTACTCCTACGTGGACTTTTGAAGTGCTCTTGAAGCATACAGTTTGATCAATCAATCAATCAGAGTGTGTGTGTATATATATATTACATGGATGTGGCCAAAAATTTCATCCAATGCAACATAAGAACTTATCTGAGTAAAAAATGCCTTTGCCTCGTTTGATTTGTCTTTTGTTTCTACTATTTTTATTTTTTAATTGTTATAGCATTTATTTTGTCAACAAAAGTATTTTGTTGCGGTCTTGTTTTATTTTACATAATGTTAAAATATTTCATGAGTAATAGTTGAAAATTAAAATACCAAAAAACTATTTTTTCTTGTTTTGACAATTGTTCATGGCTTAAAACCATAACTGTGCATGTTTCTGTTTCCGACATTTTAACAGCAAAATACCGTTCCTAAACGTGCTTTCAAATTTTTTTCAAAACACTCATATAACAAAATGACTGTTTCTATTTTAACTAAAAATAAAACGTCTAAAACAAAACGCATGTTAGACTGACCTTTAATTTTTTTTAAGAAAATGCATTTTGAAATGAAAGCACAAGATATGATATATGCATTAATTTAGTCATCAGATTGAAATTATTTCAAGAACTTATATGTAACATTAATTAAAGCCTATAAATTATGTAAAATTCCATTGCAACTTATATTCAGATTAGTGGGTAATTGGACTTTATGCTCCACTCAACCATACGCATCTACTGACAAAGAAAGCACTACCTATAAGAGATATGCACACGATCAATACATATAGTAATATATATATAGAGAGAGAGTAAAAGTCTCTAAATTAACTATATATATATATATATATAGTTATAAAATTATGCAATACATTTATATAAATTTTTCTTCATCTAAAGTAAAACAATCTTTTAAAAATCTTAGAATCATCTATTAACTTTAGACAAATATCTCACACATTTTGTGCTTATGGACTTGAATTCTTAATCTTCTACTTTAAAAACAAATCTCTCTCTCTGTCTCTAGTAATTAATATTTAAAAAATAATAATTTTTTTAAGAGATAAATACAAGTGTACATATATAATATATTTACACACATGTACCATACGCATATCGACGTATCATATAAACAACAACAAATGTGTCACACGTCCTCGGCACAATGCTATGGCATATATATTGTATACATCTAATACTATTTTTTTCGTAATAGACATTGTATTATTGTTGGTGATATATCAAAGCAAATGAAATATAATTAACTAAAAAAAGTAGGGGAAGGAAAGATATGAAAAGTTAATTAGAATCCATATAAGTGGTTGATAACTTCGTTAATTTTGTCACCATTAATTGAATGATCAAAGCTGAGATGATTGGGGATCTTTTGTTAAATAGACCTCTTTCCCTTTTTTATCAACTAGTTGATTGTATCTATTGAAAACCCTTTTGTTAAGTCTTGGAATATTTATACCAATCGGTGCTTTAAATTTGAGATAGAAGAAAATTTAGTATAAATCTTGATTAATTTTTTTAAAATTCTTCAACATGTTGAATCTGTTGATTCGGTACTCATAAACATGGTACGTTTATGAAGTTTTAAAAGAAAGAGTGAGCTAGTTAGTATAGTGTCTAATTTTTTGGACGGATGCGCTTGTGTTGGAATATGCGGTCTTCATAATTTGTTCAAAATAAATAAATAAAAGAAAGTATGTACCATCAACTGAAATCTTTGTTGTATTGTAGTACACGGATACTGTTGAGGTCAAAGGTTAGGTGTTAATAAGGTACACTTTTTTCTTTTATAAAAGGGACCCTGAAGTGCCATGTCCATTATACCTCTCTTTTTTATGTGTTCAATCATCTCATTTCATGCATCACGAAGAGAAAATTATTGAAGCAATCAGTTATCATATTGATTGAGAGAAACACTTTGGAAATGAAGTTGAACAATGACGATAGTCCTTAGCACACCTCATCAAATAGGTTATAATATAATTTAACCATCCACATTTCATCAAATGCAAAAGATCAATAACCTTTAGAACATATTTCTAATTTCTCAATCAATACTTGTTAATTGAAGTTCATTCCTCAACACTTTGGACATTCCTCAAGCCAAGTGGTGTCTCCTCTTCCTTTTAAATGGAAGGTTGAAGGATGAGCTTTTCAAGGGAACAATAACGTGTGTGATTTACACCTATTAAAGATTGAGAAAAAATAAAAAAATCCACAAATTTTTGAACCCCCAAGAAAACAATAATGTGCATGTGTGAAGATTTTTACAAATTTACTGTGTATGATTTTCTGCTTGGACTTCTCTTTTTCTGTTGATCTAAGTTACACAGAGCGGCAACGAGAGCGAGTGTGAGAGCGGAATGCAAAATCATACATAGTGGGATCGAGAAAGAGTGTAAAAGTAATAAAATTTAAATTATACAGAATGGGAGCGATAGCAAAAAATGGTTTTAACGCAACGGAAAAACCTCAACCTGAAGCCCAGCCCATAAACAACCCTAGAATGAGGACCACCAATACAGATCTCATTAGCCCGGTAGAGGCTAAATCCAATGTGTCGTTGCATATCTCATTAGCCCAATAGAGACTAGGTCCAATGTCTAGTTGCAGATTTTATTAGCCCAGTAGAGACTAGGTCCAATGTGACGTTGCTGGATTTGACTGAGCCCAATCCAAACTTAGAACAACATCACTAACAGGACTTTCTTGCCCAAAGAGGATTGAACCCTTTCGTTCACAGAGAGAGAGAGAGAGAGAGAGAGAGAATGGCTTTAACGGTTGGAGTTGCATTTGCAGTGAGACCAACGTCGACAATGTTGGCACATACTCGCCAAAGGGCCAAGTGGGTATTGAACCCTTTGGCCTCCTCTTCTTACTCTGTGCAAACCAATTCCTCTTCTTCTTCTTCACCATCGAGAAAGCTCATACTCTATTCAAAGCCTGGTTGCTGTTTGTGCGATGGCCTCAAAGAAAAGCTTCTCGCTGCTTTCTCTCTCTCCGGCCCTGACTCCCTCCACGATGTTGATTTACAGGTCCCCAACTCTTCCCCCTCATTCTATACGTTATATGTGTGTGTTTGTGTGTAAGAGTGTGTATTCTGTTTTATGTTGTGGGTTTTGTTAGTTAGATAATTACCACCAATCCTCAATGAGAGTCTCTCCTATTTCTAAGTGTTTTTGTTTTTGCTGTTGGGTTTTGTCAGGTAAGGGATATTACTACCAATCCAGTGTGGGAGAGAGCTTACCAGTTTGAAATACCTGTGTTGGCCAGAGTACTCTCTGATGGCTCTGAGGTTGGTTTTTGTCGAATTTCGCATTTTGGGTGGTTGTAGATTTCTTATGGGAGTCATAAATTTTGCAATTCTTTTTTGAGTTTTTCTCTTATTATGTGTTGATTTTGTTGATGGGAAGTCTTGAATTTAGAAAATTTTGAACTCTATTTGGATCTTTAAAGATATTACATCCTCCTTAAAATAATTAGTTCTGTCAAAAACACTCATAAAAAGTTTGGTGCAACAAATAAGATTTGAATGCAGGGAAGTTTTCTTGTCACTCCATGCTCAAATCAAATAACAAACCAAAATTTGAAATCATAAACAACTCACTGTATATCAGAATCACGACAGGACTTCTCAACGTAGCATCTTGCTGATATAAAACTCCATAAAAAATAAAAAAAAATAAAAAAAGAGGAGAAATGAGCAACAAATTTTCTAATAATTAGAAAAAAAAGGATCAACACTTGCCCTCCCTTCTTCCTCTTCCTACCAACCCCAAGTCCCTCCACCGGAATTGAAACCATGCACCTTTCCAAGTGACAGAATAGGAGATGTAAAATGAGCTAAATATCTGGTGGCATTACTTTTATTATGGTTTGTCACTTTGTCAACTTTAACTATAATCCTAATCATGAAAACTAGTCTAATGTTATGCATTAATGTCTCTTCTATGTATTTTCAAAACCCTAATATATATATATATATATATAAACAGGTTTAGGTAAAGTAGTCCGCAAGATCTGAATATAGATTTTAATAACTTCTTCTGGCTGAATAAAATTAAAACCATAACATCTAATTAATCCATAATACAATCAAGCTATTAATGCATAATTGTGTCCAACTCAAGTTTAATTCTTCTGTAATCGTGAGTTATTAAAGAATGTTATTCAGTTATGCATGTGCATTCTTTAATGTGTTGATCATCTTCATGGCCCATGGATCATTTCTAATGGACAGAGAGATAGTCAACTTTTTTGCATTCTTCAGTTATTGTGAGTTATTAAAGAATGTGATCCAATCTTGCATGTGCATTCTTTAATGTTTGATCATCTTCATGGGTTATGTCTAATGGACAGAGAGATAGTAAACTTTTTTTGAATGACTTAAAATAAAAATAAAGAGGAATAAAAAGAACAGACTTAAAAAATATTCCAACCTATGACACTATCTCAAAAAGTCATTAAATCATTAAAGTCTGCTAGTTGGTCTTTTGTGATTTGGTACCAAAAAGAAGACTTCATGAGTTTGGAAATTGATCCTTGTTATTCATTGATTGATGCCCCAATACCGTTATATCGTGACCATGACTCTAATCATTACCATAACCATAATCAATGCTATGATTAAATCTCTTCATTAAACATTTTTTTTTTCTTAGCTGGTACTCGCACACACATGCCTCCACCAAGACTCGAACCCCTGACCTCCCTTTGAGAAGTAGGGGCTTGGTACCATTAGACCACTTGCCCATTGGTTCATTAAACATTTTTCATTAGACTGAGATTATATTTTAGGCTACCCATCATCATCCTTGCTTTTTTGCCAAAAGATATTTTAGGCTGGCTGCTTGGCCAATATATAGGTTAAATTTTTTACTGCAATAAACTCCAACTGCCTGCATCAAGGCCTAAGCCAAGCACTAAGCCACTAAAAAATTGTTTGTTTCACAAAGTTAGTACCTCTTTTATCAATATTATTTTTTATAATGTGCATTTTATTATATATGATTTTTTATATATGAAGATGCATATTTCTTTTCTGGTGGTCGGGATAGTCCTTACATGTCTTGATTAGAAAAGTTTTTGGTGTCTTAAGCATAGGGAGCACTTCTCAGATGTGGCTCAGACTTGCCTGCCAAGGCCAGTCTTAAATTATGTCCAAATTTTGCTTTATTATAGAGGCCCCAGAAAGCAAAGACTCATTTAATTTTAGAATGCGTGAGTTAGAGATGAGGTACTTTAAGATGATGAGGAAATGCTTGCAAAACTAGTGTTAACTGCTAACAGCTTGCCTGTGTATGTAAACTATTATTGCAGAAGGAATTCCTTAAAAGTAGAATCTTTTTTGGGGATTGAAAATAAGGAAGGCTCGGGCTCTTTGGGAGATTAGGGTGTTTGATAACAAGGACCATTACTTTCATTAGTGACCTCTCTTGGGGGTTTGTTTCTAGTATACTTGTATTACTGAAGGAAGCCCTTAAATGAAATTGAATTAGGAAGTTTTAAAAAAATTGGATATCATCAGACTCTCAGCGCCCAGGCTCTCCAGGAAATTAAGGAGTTGGATGAGGAGAGAGGATACTCTCTCGAGTGAGGAAAGGACTAGGGAAGATGAAATAAAAGGGGAACTGGGAGTTGCTACTTTCAGAAGATATCATTTGACAGCAGAAATCTAAGGGGATGTATCTTGAGGGCAATAGAAATACAAAGTTCAGTCATAGGGTTACCAAAACAGAATCAACTATTAGAAATTAACCAACGATGAAAAAGTGAAGTGGGTTATTCTACAGTTTTATGAGAGGTGGTCTTGAAAAAGTGTCGAGAGAGGGAATTTTGTTTGACTCTATTATTTACTTTGGTGATTGAGGCTTTAAGAGTTGCTAAAGAGAACCTGTTGGAGGTATTGTGGTTTGGGACAGGGAGGGAGCTATGCTACTGTTTCTCACATTTATAAGTTGCAGATGAGGCCCTATCTTCTGCAGGGCAGTTGTGGAGCAGTTGAGGCATTTGAAGTGTGTGGTCTTTTACTTTGAGGTGTTCTCCAAGTCTATCTCTGAACTTAGCAACACTGAGCTTGTAACAAGCCACATTAATGTTAAATAACAATTATAATAAATAAATAAAAAGAAAAAGAAAACAGTGGGCACACATTTTATGGTATATATGCTATCTGTTGGTATGCATGGAAAGGGAGAGAAGATTGCATTAGTATCGAAGCCTTACCCATGGCGTGTTAGAGCTAAAGTACAAAAGGAAGTCGTGCTCGGTAATGATACAACGTGACTAGTTATGCTAGGAATTGAATTCCATATACATATAAAAAGGATACACCTGAAGTAAGAGAATGTAACGTGATAATAAAAAATTAAAAATAATTGAGAACGTGAAGAGCCAGAGAGAAAGAGGATACTAGGGAAGAAAAAAAGATATGGAGATGTCCAAGAGAAAGAGGAAGGGGGTGAAGAAGAGAAGAAATATACTTGCATTGGAAATTTTGTGAAGGACGGTTAAAGGTAGGATTTCGTTCTCTACTCTTCAATAAATTTTATTTTGAAAACAAAAAAAAAAAATGTGTAAGATTCTTTTACGCACATGTTGGTATACAATTTGAAAGTAAAAACAAGTTTATTATTGTTGAATTTATGAAATTATAGGCTCTATGGTGATTTGCATGATTATGAATTTTTTATTTGAAAACCTGTGTATAACAACTAAGCACATGATACATGTGAATTGCAACAATAATGTGGATTTCATAGGAGGGATATCTCCTGTGGAAAGGATGCTCACATGATGCGTGCGAGGGAGTGATTGGTTAATGGAAAAATAAGAAATTTAATTTTAAGAAATAGTTTTTGAGTGAGAATTGAATTGATTTTGCAATCTCTATTACATTGTATTTTTATATTCGGTCAATAATATGGAAATCTAGTTTATAATAAAATCTTATATGAATTGGTATGAACAGTTCCTATTGAGACAGAATCCCACATCACTTGGGAAGGCAAAAGGTACTGAGAATATAAGGGGAGATTTCATATCATATGTTAACAACGCGTTTTAAAGCCGTGAACGTGAATCCAAAGTGAACAATTTGGTTAACTATGGTGTTGGTTTCTAATTGATGGCATCAGAGCCAACCACCGGAAGAGTGTGGACTTTGAGTCGTGCAAGTGGACCACCGTCTTGAGCCACATACAAGTAAGGAGATGTGTGCGAGAACATGGTGGACTTGTCCACATGATTTCACATTGTTTGGGAAGGTAGAAGTTGCTGAGAATATAAGGGGATTGCACACCATACGCTAACAATGCGTTTTAAAGTCGTGAGGATGGAATCCAAAGTGGGACAAGATTGAGATTGCACCATATGTTAACGACGACTTTTAAAGTCACAATGGTGAATCCAAAGCAGACAATATTGGTGACTATGGTAATAGGTTCTTGCTGTGGTATTAGAGCCAGCGCCACTAAACGGAAGAGTACGGATGACTTAAGTCGTGCAGGTGGGCAGCGTCAAGACGCTGCATAGACATGAAGAGGCATGTGTGTGGGAGCGTGGTGGACACCTGTCCACACAATTCCACATTGCTTTAGAAAGCAGAAGTTGCTAAAGAATGTTAAGGGAGATTGTGCACCATATGATAATATTGTTGACTATGGTGGTGAATCCTAATAGAGCTAGTACTAGTTGGGAAGATCAGAGTTCTGAAATGCGGAGTCTTTGTTTGAAGGGGCTGTTGAGGAAAGGTTTTAGCAGAACTCTTTTACAAAAACGATGGACTTGTCCCATAAGAGCAAGCTCATCATGATGACACTCTCACCGTGAGTTAGTCCTATCAGCCGTGGGATTGAGAGAAGCCTCCTAATCAATAGTTGAGGCGGCACACCCAATGGTGAAATCACCCACTTGATAGTATTTTTCTGTCCCATGAGTCACAATGTCAATAGCATAAATTTTTTTTGTTTTATTTTTTCCTCAGGTTGAAACATGTTTACTTTTGGATCTGCTTTTGTGTGGATACTTTTACAAAGGTAAAATCTTAGAGATATTCTTATCTTTGTTGCAGGAGACACTTCCTAGATTATCTCCTCGCCTTGGAGTTGAGCTGGTCCAAAAGAAAATAGCAGCTGCTTTGAGGCAATAAGATTGTGTTCAAGCAATGTGTCACTCACAGTCCATGCAAGTAATTCTTTCATGTTTGAAATCGAGATCGAGATCTCGAATGGGAAGAGTGATTGTTATATGTTTTTAATACACACTCCTCATGTAAAATGGTTTTTATACTTATTCCTGATACCCAGCAACTAAGAGGGACAATTTCAATCATAAGATTTTTTGTTTCTTTTATTTTCCTCTGCACATCCCTTTCAAGCCACATTTATATATAATGTATAAATTGTATTATGCAACCAGCATTTTTACAATGATAGCAGCATGCTTTAACTGCCATTAAAATTCTTTCCAGTTTTCGTTGCAGCTAACTTCCTACTCTGGTCCTTAATTTCCAAAAGATGGCATTGTAGACATCAAAACTAAAACAAGAATATAGGGACTTCATAAGTTCATCCTAGCTTATAGACAGACCGTCAAAAAAAACCGGGTTGAAGTTTTTGCTACAGGTGCATGCGAGATGTAGCAGCAGAGCAGAGGCTGACATAGAATCAATGTTGTATGAAATTGAGTAATGTATTGGTGGGGTTTGAAGGGATAGAGAAACTAGGAATTGATGCCTGTTTAATTGCTGCTATAAACCTGTCTGTCGATAGAGAAGCTTATGCCAACAAAAGCTCAACTATATTGAGTGGATGGTCAAAGCATGGTTTATGTAAAATTTGTATCTTCAACAAGAGATTATCCAAAGAGAGGCAATATAAGGAGATCCTTTTCATCAAATCATTAATTTTTTCATGTCGAAACATAATCAAATGCCCCTGTTTCTCACTACATGATGTTTGAAAATCTGACCTATCTATCATAAAAACACTATTGTACAACAAGGATCAATGAGTCCAAACTTCCCAAATCACATGACATTGGATATTGCTGTATCAGAGAATGAGAAATGTGTAAAAAAAAAAAAAAAAAAAAAAAAAAAAAACACATAACTAGATAAGCTTCTTCTTTTGGAAAAAGCTCTTCAAGTACCACAGCTGCAAAATTGAAACTGCAACGCAGACGCCAAGGGACATGATACTGAACCATGCCACTCTAGCATTTGTTTTTTCACTCACTTCCCTCATCTCTGCTTCCCTGTGTGTACCAAAGAAAAATTAAATGTTAATTTAAATTTTTATGTTTCTCCCACTGTAAATTAAAATTCATTCTTGGCATAATATAGATTCTCTTTATTAGTAACTAAAACACAGCAAAAATAAAACCTCAACTTCTGGGTTTTTCAAAGCCAAAATCACCAGATGATACTTGTTCATGCCAATAACCTAATCCTCCAAAAATTTAAACAAAACAAAATTTCACTCATTTTTGTGATGATACTAATAAATTTTGGTTATTCCCGCAGTCGAAGTTTAGTGTTCTTCTAAATAGCCGTGGCCTGATAGGAAAAGGAAGACAGCGTGGAGATAAATGGAAAATTTAAAAGGAAAAGAAGGAAAAATGTTGAAACAAAGGCTGCCACTGAAGTGTTAGCAGCACTTAGAGGTTTTCAACAGTTGTGGCTCCACCATACAAATAATAGAACCAATAACTTACCGATTCTTGAGATAGTTTAAATTCTCATGGATTGCTTGCACTGCTCCTTCAAGTTTCCTTAACTCAAGTGCAACTCCCTGCACGTACATGTCAGATAGAAAAAGGAAAATTTAAAGGAGAGAATGCAAGATACTGCTTGGTTCAATTTTCTATTTCTAGAGGACAAAAAATAGTACAAAATTTTGTTTGGTTGATAATTTTTTGAAAAGTCAGTTAAAAAAGGGTCTGCTTTTGTAGAACAGTTTCTTATAGTTATCAGAAAACAGTTTTCTGATTTCTTGAGAAAACTGAACCAAACATGCCTCAAATTTTGTTTGGAAAATTCAGGGGTGAAGCTAAAGTACTTGCCTCAATCTTTTCTTTCTTCGCAACTGATTCCCAATCCTTTGCAGTGATCCCAATTCTCCAGTCAAGACTAACAGTTACACCTTTACCTCCTTGATGGTTGCCATCAATCCAAATACATGCCATGTAGTTGCCAGCCTCACTGGTTGTAAATGCAAATTGACCATGGGTTACATTCTCTTGGTGGTGGAGATTGTTTCCATATGGTGATGTTACCTAAAAATATATTACAAACATGAAGCTTATTTCACAGCTTACATATCGGAACTTTCTTTTGACTCCAAAATATGCAATGCCAATGCCATCTCTTTCATTTTTTAAGTATGTCACAAAAGCTTGCTTTGTTTGCAAATTTAAAGATTGAGTATGTGGCTACACTGACAAATACCTGATCACCTGGTGTGTGAAACAGGTCTAACTTCAAGCCAAAAAGACCATTACACAAAAAACAACTATTTCAAAGCATATGGTGATCGTTCTGTGACACGTACAGTCAATGTGGTAGTCACAACAGTGTATTTTGTTACTCTTTGGCATAAATCCATAATTGTTAAATTGATGATAACATCTAAATTGCATTGCATATCCTAGCCGTATTGTTGGCATAGAACACTATATGAAACATGTTGCTGGGTTTTCATCGGTTCATGTTGAATCTGGACTCAGTATGATTTTCTTCCTATGGACATTATCTTTCCTTCTAGTCAAATTTCCTTCTTTGAAAATTTTAGTATAAAATTTTATACATGGTAAATTAATTAATTATCTACACCTACTAAGCAATAACACAAGTACAAAGTATGACGTCTTAACTATTAAAGAAGACTAGCCAGCAAGAAAGCATTCTGGCAACTATGAGTAAGCTATCTTATTCTGAATCTCTGATCTTACCTGGTGACGTTTTTTTATTATACAACCAAAGGCAATCATCCATTTCCTAACCGCATTAACCATGGTTTTGAAAAATTTTAGTCATAAGATGTATTTCTCTCTCTCTCACACACACACATGCGCATACGCGCAAACCATCCCAGACATATTCAATGCACAATAACCTCCCTCCTTTTGAGACAACAAAGCTAAATAACAGATGAGGAGGTTTTAACAATATCTTTCACTATCAATATTTCCAATTCTTTCAATTCCAGTTCTAGTATGCCAAATCTAAAATTTAAATATTGTGTTAGTACTAATCATCTCAGAATCTTACAACCCTTAACTTTTACCTACCTTGTCTCATTGATAAAAGTACTATGTTACTAATGAACAGTGCCATACAGACATAAATGTTTATCAGAAAATTGTGCAATTGATACTGATGTTAATTGGAAAAGCCATCATCTCCTCCTCCTTTTTTCCCCTTAACAAATATGATACTCTCCCATGTCCGAAAAGGTTGTTAATATCGCGATTCTACATCATAGAATCGATCTGAATCGCACATAAATCGTATCTGTGGTAGAATCATATGCATAATCGTAGATTCAGTTTTTTTTTTTTTTTTTTTCTCATGGTTGATTGTGATTTTTCAGTGAATATAGGGGATGAGTTTTTTGGGATTGTTAACTTTTGGTTCTTGACTTCTTGGTTTTAATTTTCTTTAGTTTTGACCTAATAAATTGTTACTTGGTATTAGACTATTTACTATTAGTTCATGTTTAATGTTCATATACTGAAAATTTGTTCATTCATTCCTTTAATACAATGCAGATATTTTTTATTGACAAAAACAAGGGTGTCTATCACCCAGTTTTTATATAAATAATGTTAGTTATTTGTTTATTATTATTTTGGATTTGATTTTTAACAAACCTCAGCTGATTCCACTTGTACCTACCACCTAGCATCTATTCCAAGTTAGTATTGTCTCTCATGATTCAAATTGAATTGATGTTGCATAGTTGTCATGTAAGATCTACCTTTTGAACTACATTCTCTGTGATATATATGTATGAATTTATCCCAAGATGTATGTAACTATACTTGGAAATGATGCTTTTTTTTCTTTTTCTTTTTTTTTTTTTTGTTTGTTTAGGGCTTATTCTTGCTATATTTTAGAAATATCACTGTTTAATAAGTTAGTTTGAAAAACATTTCTACTAGTTTGGTAGAATCTTATGATTCTCGATCCGATTCTACGGAGCCCCCAAAGATCCTATGTAGAATCCCGATCCTGACAACCTTCCGAACACTCAAGCTACTCCTTGTGGGGTAGCAGAATATAAAACTCAAGCTACACAGCCGGTGTTGAAACTCACTTATCCCAAAAATCTCACAGCGGTAACAAATTTATATGCATGTCCTTAATCATTTGAAATTTTGAACATATATAATTACAATTTACAACTAAGCAAAGTAAGAAAACAACTTCCAGGGCTAATCATTTTGATACTACGCCAACATATTTAATCTTTCCTTTTATTTTCTATAGTACGAATTATAAGTTTGATACTATGAGATCATCAGTCCTATTATCCACGATATGAGTAACTGAAAGTTTGATACTATGAGATCATCAGTCCTATTATCCACAATATGAGCCACTGAAGGGTTTTCTCCACCTATCTGTGGTTTCATAGTCTCGGGATCTTGTGTAACTTAATCAGGTATGCCATCATTTACCATATAATTAAAAAGGCTTTAATAAAATACCTTCCGCACTGAGCCTTTCTTGTCTTTATCTCATATAATTCCAACTTCAAAGGCCCTAATTCTCTACTAAACCACGTATTCTTGCTAATCTCGCTAGGATCTTCTCTTATTAACATTGAGTCATACATAACCTGAGTCCCAGTGTGCTTTTTCCATAATATAAATTTTGACAACCACCAAGAGAGGTCATCATGGTGTAGTACCAAAAGCTCAACACGTGAAGCATGAATTTGGGGTTCAACTAACATATAAGATCTACACCATAGTTGTTAAAGGCACACCTAGACTCTAAAAAAGCCCAGGCTTATGTAGCTTTTGGGTTGCGCTCCCCTTTTGAGCGCATCTATAATACTACTTATCAAAAAAAAAAAAAAAAAAAATGCTTATAATGGGTCAGCCAGAACACTTACGATCAGGACACTTCAGTCAAGCTCACACAAAGCCCTTGAGCTCATGACTTTTCATACTCTGCATCACATAATGGTCATATTTGAAAGTTCATAATTCTCTAATCTTATTGCATATTTGATGGAATTCACGAGCTTATGTTGACTACTTAAATTAATTAAGTCTAGTGTTTGATCATGAATTTCTATGATAATTTAATACATGTTTAAAATCTACATAATTATTGTTTTCCATTTACACATCTCTAATGGGGTACGGTTTAGTTAATGTATTTTGCATATCAAAAAAAGGATTTATGTACATTGATTTACTTGATCATCTACAATTACAATTCATCGAGTGGCCGGGGGTTTGGACAAACCCCAATCTCGCAGATGAGATCAAGGTACTTTCTATGTCAAAATTTTAATTTTTAATAATATTCATTTTATCCTGGAAAAAAATAATAATAATAATATTCATTTTATCAAACATGCGCCTTACTTCAATCACTCTTGCTTGCATAAAGACTTGTGCTTAGGCTCCAGGATGACCTTGCAGCAATGATGCCTTGGTGCGCCTTAAGCCATTATAACCATGATCTGTGGTCTATACCTAGTCTACTTTTCCCAACACCCCCGATCTACTAGACCATCAACAACAAGGTGACTCAACTAGACTAATTTTTTTTTTGATAAGTAATAATAAATTAAAAAGCGTTCAAAAGGGGAACGTGTCCCTAGAACAATAATCGGGGACTAAGGCCCCAAAGAATCCCGAAAAAAAAAAAATTAAAGCATCAGAAGAAGAGCAAGAACTTCTCGTCACATAACTAAAGAGAGAGCGAATAATAATAAGTTTTAGTGTTGCCGTAGACGACTCTTTCCCTTCAAATATTCTACTGTTTCTCTCCTTCCAGATGCTCCACCATACGCAATGTGGGACATTTCTCCAAAAATCGCGCACGCCTCTGCTCACGCGACATCCTCTCCAGGCATAAATCAAATCCTTAGTAGAATGTGGCATTACCCAACACATGCCAAATAATCCAAGAATAAGATTCTAACAATCGTACGCCACAGGGCAATGCATAGAAGATGATTAACAGATTCCCCATCTTGCTTACAAAGGCAACACCAATTAACAATACAATTTCCCCTCTTCCTCAAATTATCAATCGTCAAAATCTGACCCCACACAGTTGTCCACACAAAGAATGCCACCCTAGTAGGTGCCGAAGAGCGCCATATAGTTTTCCACGGGAGGACAAAGCTAACAAAATTAGACAGGCATAAAAACAAAGATTTTACTTCAAAACGACCGTGAGAAGAGGGAATCCATATCAAATTGTCATGCCCCCTACCAATTCCTTCCTACCGATACAATTGGTCCAGAAAAGTACTCACCTCATTCAACTCCCAGTCCTGAAATGACCGCCTAAAGTGCACATTCCACGTAATTCCACTATTATCAAGCCGATAACAGTCAATCACGTAAGCATGTTTGTCAATTGCAATACTGTATAATCTGGGAAATGTGCGAGATAATAGATGATCCCCACACCAAAGATCTTCCCAGAAACGGACGCATCTACCATCACGAACTTTGAATCTAATATGAGGAGAAAAGACATCATATCCCTTCCGAATGGATTTCCAAGCCCCAACTCCTCCCGTAATAGAAACTAGGCGTGTAGTCCAACCGCCAACATCTTCCCCATACCGACACGATACTAGCCTTCGCCAAGGACGTTGCCTTTCCTTACCGAATCTCCACAACCATTTGCCCAACAAAGCTTGATTAAAAGGAATCAATCATCTAATACCAAGACCGCCCAACTTCATAGGCTTGCAAACTCGCTCCCATTTGACAAGGAGATACTTGAACTCTTCTCCCCTTCCGCCCCAAAGAAAATCCCTTTGAATTTTTTCAATCCTTTCAGCAATGGAGCAAGGAATTTGGAACATAGAAAGAAAATATGTGGGAAGACTAGATAAAGTGCTCTTAATAAGAGTTACTTTGCCCCCCTTTGACAAATATTGCTTTTTCCATCCTGCCAACCTCTTTGCATACCTGTCGAGCACAGAGTCCCAACTCCCTACTAACCTTAAGGAGACCCCTAAAGGCAAACCCAAATAAGGAATAGGAAAGGACAAACCCTGCAACCAAGTACTGCAACCAAAGAAGAGATATCCTGAACATTCCCAACCGAGACAAGCTCACTCTTAGCCACGTTAATCTTTAGCCCGAAAATCGCCTGAAAACATGCCAAAATGTATCTCAAATATCCAAGTTGAGACACATTTGCATCACAAAAAACCAAAGTATCATCTGCAAACAGCAAATGAGAAATCTCCACCTGATGGTCAATATCTCTTCCCACTCTGAATCCCTTAATGAACCCAAGATTTTATGCCCTGCGCATAAGTCTTCTAAGGCCCTCCATGATAATAAGAAAGAGGAAAGATGACAATGGATCACCTTGTCTTATTCCCCGAGAACACCCAAAAAAACCAGCAGGAGAACCATTCACAAGAATTGAAAACTTGACAGACGAAAGACATGTCTCAATCCATTTCCTCCACTTACTTCCAAACCCCATTCTTTGTAACAAATAGAGAGAAAATTCCAGTTAACATGATCATAAGCTTTCTCAATATCAAGTTTGCAAAGAACTCCAGGAACACCACTGCTCAATCTTGAATCCACACATTCGCCTGCAATAAGAACTGAATCAAGAATTTGCCTACCTCCAACAAAAGCATTCTGGGAGTCTGAGATAATCCCGTCCATAACTTCTTTCATCCTTTGAGCAAGCATCTTAGCAATAAGTTTGTAAATACAACCCACCAAACTGATAGGACGAAAATCCTTAATATCAGAAGCGCTTCCCTTCTTAGGGATGAGGGCAATAAATGAGGCATTTAGCGACTTCTCATAGACACCAGAAGTATGAAACTCCTGAAAGGTACCCATCACCTCACCTTTCACAACCATCCAACTTTCCATCAAAAACGCATAGTGAACCCATCAGGCCCCGGAGCTTTATCCCCATTACAACTTGACAAGGCTTTTAGAACTTCTTCTTCAGTAAAAGGAAGCTCTAACCCATCTCTCTCCAACTCAGAGATAGCCTCAAAAGGGAGTCCATCAAGTTTGGGTCTCCAACCTAAAGGTTCTATGTAAAGCTTCTGATAAAAAGAAACTATCCCATTACGCACCTCTTCCTCCCTCCACAACTCCACACCTTCCACCCGAATGCGTCCAATGTGATTACTCCTTCTATGAGCATTAGCTAATCTATGAAAAAAATTTGTGTTACGATCCCCCTCTTTCAACCAAAGAGCCCGAGATTTTTGACGCCACGAAATCTCTTCCATACTAGCAATCTCAGCAAGACTAATAAAGGAACCTAATGTTCTGATCTTTGTTTGGTGGTTGGATGTGTGCTTGGGGATCCTCTCCCAGCCCCTACTGATAGGGGAAGGAAGTGAAGAAGGCAGCAAAGCCAAGTATCATCAATGTAATTAGCCTTCTTTTCCTTTTTACCAATAACCTTGTACAAATCGGTAACTTTATTAGATCACTAAGACTTAATATTGGCAAATTTTGCAACAAAAGTTAAGCGTCTCCACTCTTATTTTTACTTTATTTATTATATATTTTGAATGGTAGTTAGGTAGTTAGATATTACCTCATGAACTATGGACTTTGAAGATGGAATTTGAAGATCATGACAAAAATGAGAAGGAAAAATCACCTCTCAAATAACTAACCTGCCAATTAGGGTTTTATTTTGAGCATTCCTATCATTCATTACATTTAGGATGCAATGCATATATCATTGAATTATTATAAACAATCTTAATATTGAAAACTAAGTTTTTGCAAATTTAAACTTTCAGTCAATCGAATGATCATCGTGCCATATGGCGACTTAAATCGATCGAATCAATAGGTGGACTGATCGAATCCTATGGAAAACAATTTCCTAATTTGTTTTAAGCACAAAAACCCTAATTATCTCTGATTCAAAGCCTATTTAAGAACTCTTAGGGCTCAAAAACAACATACAAGAGAATAATTGCATACATATAGAACATATAGTGCGTATATAGGAAAATAATAGTAATTTTCTTTATTTATCAACATCTTAGCATATTGCACCAGATGGTGAGTAGTACTGGTGAGTGTTGATTCACCAAACCTAAAGAGTTGAAAAGGAAACTAACACCAAAATCATACAAAAACAAAGATCAAATTCGTTAGACAGATCGTAAGGGTAGTACTGGTGAGTGTTGATTCTTCAAACCTAAAGAGTTAGAAAGGATGCTAACACAGAAATCAAACAAAAACAATGATCAAGAAAGTTAGACAGCTAACAAAGGCAATCAATCACAAAATAAGAAGCGTGCCGCATAGAGAACGAAGTTGCAGAGCAATAACAAAAGAGTTCAAGGTAGAACATCTGGCGTAAAAATGGTTCTAAGTTAACCTCGATGATTCTATGGATTTAGGATTTAAGACCTACGTTTGTATTACATTTTTCTTTTTAAGATGGGCTTGATCGCATGGCCTAGGGTCCTTTGGTATTTTTTCCTGTAGTGTTTTCCGCGTAAATATTCTGAGTTACTATGTGTGATCAACTATATTTAATTTCTTTTATGCTTACCGTGTTTGACGCAAGGGAAGTGTCATTCATAGGGTCTTTCTGCCCGGAGGTTTTCTGCTAGTGGTTTTGTGGGGTATTCACCTTTGTATGCCAAAACCAATCACATGGTCTCACCCACTTTCAAATACCACAACAAGAATTTTAAATTTTCATCTTCTACAACTTGTTTTTAAAAGACCTATCCACCCCCTTCTCGTCTGGTTAGTCAACGTATCAAAACTAAGGGTGTCAATCCTCCCCCTCAAACTTAACAGAAAAATTGAAAGATAAAGAACTTAGTTTATTAAGAAGAAATGATATTTTATGGGAATTTGCTGTTATCATTTTACAAAGTGCTCACAAAAGTTCTTTTACTATTTTTTTTTTTAAAAAAAAACAAAGTACAGGCTTAATTTTAATATGTATGCAACTGGTTTCTTTTTCCATGTAAGGTTTACATTAAATTGGACACTGTTTGATATCAAAATAAACCACTTCGACATGACTTCTTGTCAAATTATTCACTAAATTACAATTTTTTACTTTTAAGATTGTAGCTTTAAAATATCTCCAAGTAAAAATATCAGCTTTAAAATTTATTGCAAATTAAATGATTGGAGGGGATGAGCCCATATGATGATAGCCTGAACTGGAGTTTACTTCTCAAACTCATTCAGATAAGTTTAGGGGTAACACCATAAAGGAATGCCAACCACTTACACTCCCAAAGCACTTGTCAACAATAATAGTACAAGTTTTCAGGACTTCAGGAAGTGGAGAGGAGAGTGGCCCCTGCCTCCCATACTCTCACAGGCCCTGATTACACCTCATAATGGCCTTCTGCCTTTAAGCTTCAACCTTCCATGATCCATCTTTGTTATTTATTATTTTCTTTCATAGATTTTTTATATTCACACCTGATGTATTAAAACATTATCCAAATGTTTTAACAGACCTTTTTGCCTTGACAAGTTCAATACACCTCTATCTCCATCACAAGCTGTTATTTTCCCACAATTTTTATTTTCTTGACTTCCTTTTTTAAAATATCTGGATTCATAAACTCGGTCTGGCCAGTCTTTCACCAATAACTTCTCAACCTAACGGCATCATTCCGCAACATAGTTCTATAATGAAGTGTCCCTTGCACACTTTCCTTCCAGTTCTCCATAAACAAACAGAGTCACTTGTTTAGAATTGTTAACCATCTTATTCCACATAGCTTTCTTTTCCTCAAAAGATTTCTTTTTTCTTTCTTCATATTTTCATCAAGATTCATTTATCATCCTATAAAGGCAATAATAATTTTAAATTTTAGATAACACCACTTTTCTCATATAGTTCTTCCCCCACATGGCTACCAGATTCCATCACACAAAAAGAACATCTCAAAGCAATTCATACACGTTTTCACATAATTGCAGCTTAACATCTTCACTAAATTATGTGCTGATTGAGTAGTGGACTCACAGTATCTCTCGATCGACTACATTTTTTCCAATAGTAAGTTTATTCTATCTACAAATAGAACTTCTATGTAAATCTTCATCTACAATTTTTCTACTAGCATCCTAAATTATTCTCTATGTGCCCAATATTATAACTCAATCTCCTTCATCACTCTCATCCATGATTATTTGAAACAAAGTTTAAACATCAACATTGACTTTCCTGATCAATGTTTCCACCAACTCCATCATTTTCAACTCATAATTAAACTACCCACCAATTAAATCAAAATCTAGGGGGAAAAGAAAATTGCACCATGATTGTAAAAATAAAATAAAATACAAAATATAATAATAATAATAATAAACTTCCTGAAAATCCTATATAAGGCATCTATATCATCCTGAGTAGAGATTATACTTTAAACAAGAATACTAAATTAAATAAAAATAAAAAATAAAAAAAAATGTGCAAATCAAACACTAAATACTTAAAATCTAAATACATGGCTACATAAATGCAATCTTTAGAGTAAATTAGCAAATACTAATTTGATTCATGTGGAGATGAATACTTACCCTGGCAGCGATGGTGGGGATGACATTGGGATGTTCGTTGTCAGTGATTACGGCGTAATCGGCCAAAACGACGACGTTGCTCCGGATTTCCTCGGACACGCACTTTGTTCCTGAACTTGGTAGAGTCAACCAGATAGCTTGTGTAATGGGTAATTGGTAAATCGTCCAACAACTCGCCAAAACCAACCACACCACCGCTCGAGTAAGTGCAGTGGCGCCGCCCGCCATCTCCTTCCAATTTTTCTCTATCTAACCCCTCTTTCGCTCTCTAAAACTCTGTTACCCTTTCTTCAATTTCCGAACGATGAAGTGTAAAGGTTTTTGGAGAAGAGAAGAGAAGTGCTTCAAAGAAGCAAAGCAGAGAAAGAAAGTCAGATCTCTCTTTCGTTCTTTCTGATTTCTCTCTCTGTCGTGAAGGTGGAGAGGTCACGCGCTATATCATTGGGGATTGCGGAGACGGAATGGACTTTGGTGGGAGAGTTGGGGCGTGGATGGCGCGAGTGGGATAGGATTCTGAGTGGCTTCGCGCCACGCACTTTGTTGCGTTCGAGTTGAGCGTTTCAATTTGGTCAACCACCTATTTTCATAGGATATATCCACGCGTCTTCCCTTGTTGTTAATTACAATTAGGAGTGGGCAAATAATCCACGAGTATGATCGAATTCAATTAGTGCATATTAAATCGGATTAGGGCTGCAACTCGGGCGGGTTGAACAAGTTTGAGGTATAACTCAAGCCCAATTTACCATATGAAATGCTAAATCTAATCCCAACCGTAACCATATCCTCAATCTTAACAAGTCAACCCAAGCCCACCTCATCTTTCTCTTTTTAAATTCGGACTTGCAACTCTGACTTAAATTCCGGATAAAAATTTCGAGTTAATTTGGGTTACTCATATGACTAATCCTTACACCGAAAATTTAATATGATCTTGAATTAGTTTTAAATTAAATTATTCTTAAACAATAAAAAGTTTAAAGATTTTTTGTAAATTTTTAATAAATTACAAACAAAATTTTAGAAAATTAATTCTCCTAAATGTTAATATACAATAAGTTATAATTTAACAAATTAAGTTGAAAAGAAAAAAAAAGTAATCACAGTTTAAATATTATATATAATGTATTTAAAAGTAAAAATATATATGAAAATAATATTAGAATTTGGGTTCGGGTTGCTAGCACTTCAACCCAAGCTCAACCCTAACCCTAATTAAATTCGGATTGAGATTTTTCAACCCAAGCCCAACCCTAATTGTAAAAATAATTGTCCAAGCCAGTAAAAAAATGGGCTGGACTCGGGTTGGGTTCAGGTTACCCAACCCAAGTTGCACCCCTAGATCGAATTGCTACACTCACGGATCGGTGGCGGATTATGCAACTCACGGATCGGATCATGGATTGGACTGTTAAAATTCGATCCGATCTACTATTTCGATCTGATCCGATCCTTCAAAGAATGTATTAGTTAATGATTATTAAATGAACTTTAAAAATATATTAGTTAATGATCATTTAATTATATGAATTCATGTTGATAAATTAAAACTTTATCTATTAAGCCATGGTAAAAAACTAAACAATATTTGACAATTTAAGAAAAATCCCAATTTGCAGATTCGATCCGATCTGTTATCCCACGGATTGGTGGCGGATTAAAAATTTTCAATCCATTAAGAGAGAACCGGATTAGGATTGATGCCTAATCCGATCTAATTCGTGGCCACCCCTAATTACAATGTCCATGCTCCAATTATCCCCCGAATAGTATGAAGATTGAGGGTTTAAATACAATAGGGACGTGTTGTGAAGCTAAGTTGAGCAATTCTTTTAAACGGGTGTTACTCTCACACTTAGAGCGCATTCTCACTCTCACGCTTCGCGTGCACTCTCACTCCTATTCTACATTTTGTAACTTAGATTTTGTCGCTTCCACGCTCCCGATTTCGCATTCACTTTTCACTCTTGCTCTCGTTTTATGTGACTTAGTTGTGAAGATAGGTGTATGTTTGGTTTAACTTTTGAAAAACAAAACCAAACATAAACGTTCATGATCCAATTACAGCTCGTACAAGCCATCCTCCCCAAAGGGAGGTCGGCTGTTCGAGCCTCTATAAAGGCACAGATGTGTGATTGCTTAACCTTCCAACAACAACAACAACAACAACAACAATAATAATAAAATGAAATTATAAAAAGTCATCTTAGTTTTGTTTAGTGGGAAGTATCTAGTTCAACCCTAAAACGACAAAGTATTGGTGCCACTATCGTGAATTCGAACTTCAAAAATAAATAAATAAATAACCACTTTGTAACCATCCTTGCCTAGTTCTTTCTCACGATAGCAAATGTGACGACGACGTTGAAGTGAAGAGGTTTCAAATCTAGGCCCGAAATCCAATATTGAAGTAAGCCTCCCATGGGAGTCAGTTTCTTCTAGGGAATAAGGTAAGAGCCTTACAGTTAGAGTCACTCTTTCGTCCTAGCCATTTTGACAATCGGGATGTCTCTTTGCTTCACTTGGAACCCTTTAGGATAGAACATTATCCTTTTATTGACATATAGTAAGAATTGAGTGAACAATGACTTTAAATGCATGTGTTAAGCTTCAAAGGAATTTATTCACCTCGTTGATCCTTTTCAAAATCTTCATTGTTGGAAGCTTCTCTCTTGAATAGATTTCGTAACGCGTGAGGACCCGAAATTTTGTGAACAATGCAGAGTCGAATTTGTTGATTCTCGGTTGATTTTGCATCTTCTCCTTTAAAGAAAAAAAATAATAATCAATCTCGTCAAGATAGGACGAAAGCTTTTTTTATTAGGTTTGGAATGAAACATCAATTCAGTCAAGTAGTATCCTTTACCTTTACAACTCTTATAACAAGGCAACTCATAGTCAAAAGAGGATTGGTGTTCCAACCAAAGTCTCTGAAAGTGGAGGAGTTCTTCGTTCCAAGTTTCGAAACTCTACTAATTTCTCAACTAATGCCCTTAGATAAGGACTCATGTTTGCCTTGGTTCTCCGTGGTCATTTCTTTCTATCTCTTACTTCAAAGGATTCAAGAAATATAAAAAATAAAATAAAAAAAAAATAAAAAAATAAAAAAAAAATTAGAGATTTGTCTAAGTTTTCATTATCAAGCCTATATTTTGACAGGGTGGGCATTGGCAGAATAGTAAGGCTACTCCATTATGACTTGGTGATTCTGGATTCAAAATTGTAACAACTTTTTCATATAGATGCGAGGTTATGTACATCTAGGGGTGCACAAAGAATCGGTGGTACCGTTAGGAACCAAAACCAATGCTTTGGTTCCGGTCCCAGGAAGTACAACAAATCTTGAATTTATGATAAATTTTACAAACAATTGTGTATACACCACATTTTTAAAATTCGGGCACGACAAATTGTTTCTAGGAATTGAAAGTTAAAGATAATTGTAAGGCTACTCCATCATGACCTGATGGTTCTGGATTCGAAATTATAACAACTTTTTCATATAGATGTGAGGTTAAGTACATCTAAGGGTGCACAAAAAATTGGTGGAACCGTTAGGAACCGAAATCGGTGCTTCAGTTCCGGTCCCTAACGGTTCCGATTATTGGAATCCGCAACTGAAGCTCCTGTTCCACTTGTTCCAACTCCATTATGTTGTGGTGCGAATGAATAGCACTATGACAATTAATATAACAAGTAAGGAAATTCAGTTTCAAAAAACAAAGAAAATTTCAAATTCAGGTTGTATCTCAAAACCTCTTCCAATTAGACCACATTTTCTTGTCATGACCTGATCATTTTTTTTCTTTTCCATTCCCTCAAATTTTACGGATAAATTTTTTCATTGATTTTTTTTTTCGAATTTTCTTTTTCCGTCACTTTTCACTATCTTTTCATTTTGCGTAACCGATCAGGTCGTACTCGGATTTGATTCCGACCTTGCATGCATTCATTTTACTTGATTCTATGTGATCCACATTTTTACTTTTGTTAAAAGCATGCTAGATGTTTACTTTTGCCCGTAAGGGTATAAATGCAAAGATTCTTGAAATTTGTTTTATTTACTTAAGGTATTTTTCGTAATTATCTTTTGATGAAATTTTGTATTTAAGATTCTTTTAAATGTATCTTTTGAATGGCACCTCATTTTGGGCTTTCTGAGAAATTCACTTTTCGAGTTATCTAGTGGAGAGGCATTTATGTAATTATGGAAAGTTTTTGGAAAAGTTTCTCATTTTGGGTTCAAACTTTCATGAGGGGTTTATTTTCACTTTTTATGGACTCTGGCACTTCTAGAATATTTTTTGAATTTTTATTTCATTTATTTTGGATTTTCGAACCCCGTTAGTCGTCAATCTTGTCCGAGGTATATCTCCTCGCTCAGGACTTGGTTTTTGACCTCGTTTATTTCGTTGATCATAGAATTCCATTTTGAAACTTTTTCGTTCATGGACCATCAGTATTTGAGCGCGTCTTCACTGATTTCATTTTTTGGACCCAGACGGAGCCCGTTCAGACAATTCGGGATACCTTTTTGACTTATTTAGGGTTAGTGGATAAGAGAGAAAACATCTCTAACTTTTTATTTCCTAAAGTAGCGGCCACTAGCCTCCATTGAAGAACCTTAGAGCTGCCCCTTCTCTCTCATTTTTTCATCTATTTCCTCTTTGAATTTCATCTTCGCGGTTTATACTTTCTTTATCTCCTCGATGACGCGGTCATTTCTATCCGATCGGTTTCCGATTTGCAGCACTTTGATTTTTGGCCTAAGAGTTCAAGCTTGGATTTAGGTCTTGTTTCTTAAAGGTTTCTTGCTCTCCTTGTTGTCCCCGCCAAAACCCCAAAATTTCATCGCATTTTATAGAGTTTGATTTGTGTGAGATTTAAGATTTTCTTCTCAAGTGAGGTAAGGAGTGTTTCATGTTTACAATCTTAGTGTTTTACATGTTTTTGAGGTTTATATGACTTATATGCATGTTTAAAGTTTAGATCTAGAAATAATTTTTATTTTAATTAAATGATAATTTAATTTCATAGTTGAAGCATGCTTAGATTTAATTAAGATTATACATTTTGAAGAGCCCATGACTTGTAGTTCATCATATATTATTTTTAGAATTTTTGGATGACTTTTGAAATCTAGATATTTTTAATTAATTAAGTTAATTAAAAATTAATTAAGTGTTTTCGTGGGTTGATTAGACTTTTGATTTAATATTTGAATTCTTCATGATATATTGTTTATTATTTGTTAAATTCATGTCATTTGATGATGTTTTGCAATCTAGAGGAATTTATTAATTTTTATTTTAGTAGCTTCCATTTAATGAAATAATGATTTATTGGCACCTTTGATGTTTTCAAGGTCTATTATGTTACATGCCATAGTAGTTGAAGACCTAAGGCATGTCTTGTA